TTTTATTTTTCACACCTCGTTTCGGGTTAACGGAGACGATAACTGTTGTCTTGTTTGATAAATTCTAATGCAATACCCGGTTGCACGTCTCGTAAAAGAGAGAGATATCGCTGGGCCCCTCGTGTGAGCAAGACTGTAGAAATGTGTGGCCGCACTATAGACGAACGTCGTCTATTTCAGACAGTCGAACTCAGTGAACGAGAAAGCAGTCGAATCAGATAAGGTGGCTTGTCCATGCCTTATGTTCGACATATGATATCGCGATACAAAAGGATCATCAGTCGGAATCATCACTGGCTTTCGTATGATCACAAACAAACTCTATTCGAGATAGGTAGTCATAGTGTCTTGCTAGAGACCGCCTATGACTTGTATTACCGGAATGGAGATTCTGCGTTTTACTGCTATTCCGGATGAGCCTACAGGGTCACACACAATAGGGATGGACAAGTACGTGTGCTAAATTATCCCGATTAGGAATCCTAATTGGATTGAGATTCCTAATTGGAATAGGAATCCTAATGGGATTAGGAATCCTATTTTGTATAGGAATCCTAATGAGATTAGAATTCTATTACATCTAGGAAACCTAATGAGATTAGAATTCTAATAGGTTTAGGAAACCTAATTAGATTAGGATTCCTAGTAATATATTCCTTATCAAATTAGGATTTTGGAAAGTCTATATAAGGAGAATGTCTTCTAGGGTTTTAAGAGAAGGAAAAAGTAGAAGAAAAAAAAAGAAGAAAAATAAAACCCTAAGCCTCCAAAAACCTTGCACACAAGAGAGATCGAGATCTCTAGTCCTAGCAGACAAGTTCCAAGGTGTTGGAATCCATCCCGACGTGTGGATACGTGTAGAGGGCGAGGTATTCTTCCTGGCTAGAGTGATCGGACGAACAGATCAATTGATACAGGCCCCAGATCGATTGAGGTAAGCGTTCTAACGTTTCTATGATTCAATAGTAGCATGGTTCTAGGGTTTCATTAAAATTTTTGTTTTATATCCGCTGCACAAACCCTAGAATCGATCTCTTAGGAATTAGATTCGCTCATGAGATCCCAGGAAACCCAACAGATTCGATCTTTGCTTTCTTGACGATGTGACCCGATCGTGTGACATGAGTAGACACGATTGGGTGTACCACTGAAACTTGTCCTTTTCGGGATTTTTGCCCTTTCTTTCGCTCCTATTGCTTGTACCTGCAATCATATATGAACGAGCGAGAATCAAAGCTAAACACACATTTAAGCATCTCAGATGACATAAAACCGAGTAAATATGTTAGACGAATCATGTAAAAATTCATGTATATTGCGTGTTATCACTTTACCATAGAATAAATAACCTCTATAAATGGACAAACTTTTGTTCCCAATAACAAATCTGAAACCATCCGAGTCCAAGCATGGAATCGATATAATGTTCTTGCTGATAGCAGGAACAAAATAACAATCATGCAACTCCAATACAAGGCCAGAAGGTAAAGTCAAATCATAAGTCCCGATAGCTAATGCAGCAACTTCTGCTCCATTCCCGATGCGGATATCTACTTCTTCCTTCGCCAATTGTCTACTTCCTCGCAGTCCTTACACATTTCCACAAATGTGCGAGGCACATCTGGTATCTAATACCTATGATGTAGAAGTAAATAAGTTCGCCGAAGATACCAGAAGTCGAAGCTTCCTTAAGTTTATTATTCTCTTGATCTTCCAGGTAGAGTTTGTAATCTTTGTGCCAATGCCCGACGCCATGACAAAAATAACACTCTTCCTTCTTGGACTTAGGCTTAGGTTCAATGACAACGCTTGTCACTTTCCGCTTGCCCTTGCCCTTGCCCTTGGAACGCTTTCTTTTGCTGGAACTCTTTCTAACAACTACCATATCACTCTGTTATGATTCTAAGATCGATAGATTTCCCGATAGACGGTGGATGGGTTCCCTAAACCCCTAAACAACTCGCAAATGAAACCTAAGCAGACGTTCGCGAAGAACGGTCTTAAACCCCGAGTGAACCTGGTTTAGAAACGTAGGGTGATCGAAGATGCCACAAGTGTTGTGCGGAATCAACACTTGATAAGTCAAGTTTGAACGCCACGGATGAAGATCCGATAAGTTCAGAAATTAGTTCTAAAAGAACTCTAAGAGAAACCTCTCAAAATATATTTCAAAGTTGTTCCTATAATCTGAGTTTTGATCTCTATTTATAGAGAAAACAATACATGAAATTTAGCAAAAATTAAAATAAATAAACACAAACAAAGAGGTTTGAATGTGTAGTCTTCAAGAGAGTCAAAATTGACTTTGTAGTCTTCAAGAATGAAGTTGGAAAGTCATCTTGACCAGATTTAATGCCAATTTTCGACCTCTTTCTTGGCTTTAAATTTTGGGTTTTATTTATGGACCATCCAAGAATGAAATCAAGTGGATAATGGGGCTGAACTTGTGGTTGATCCAAATCCATGCACTCTCCCATGTATTCTTGACCCAAACATTCAAGAATAAGGCAATTCGGTACAACTTGTAGCTTCTTCGCACGTGCTCTTGTCATCGGTCTATTTGGCTCGGTGAATTCTCCTGCTTTGTCCATTCCGAAGCAAGCTTCCAATTTAGCTCCTATGGTGTTGCTTTCCATGTCCTCATCATTCTCCTCTTCTTTAGAAAGATTTGTCCTCAAATCTGAATTTTCTGCAACAAAAGGAGATAAATCACACTACAAAAAAAGGCCAAATTTCAACGGATTTCTACCGGATAGCCGTTGGAAATATTCCAACGGATTTCTGATGAAATTCCCACGGATGTGTAACGGATAAGTCCGTTAGAAATCCGTTGGAAATTTCCAATGGCATATCAACGAATATCAACGTTGGATATTTTCCACGCAAATTCCGACGGACATCCGTTGGAAATAACGTTCGACAATTTCCAACGGGCTCCCGTTGCAATAATCCGAATGTTGTAAAACGCGGCAAACATTCCAACGGACATCAGTTGGAAATAGTCGAACGTTATAACGTTCAAATTATTCCAAGAGGAGCCCGTTGGAAGTTTTAACGGTCGACGAAATTCAATGGATTTCTAACGGATATCCGTTGGAATGTTTGTCTATTTAAACCATCCGACCATTTTCTCCCAAACAACTCTCTAAATCATTCTTCTACTATCCTTACACCAAAAACTCTCCCAAAAATGGCTTCTTCAACAAATTCGAATATTCGTTCATCCTAGTAGTGGATATATGAAAGAGTTGATCCGATTACAAAAGATGTAACGCAAGAATTCATGACTGGTTTGGAACAATTTATGAATTTTGCTTCCATGCAGCCGTTGTGCCAAGAACGTGGAAAAATGCTATGTCCATGTACCAGTTGTCGCAATTTTAAATATCGCTGTCAAGAAGATGTTGGTAAACATCTATTTCGAAGGGGATTTGTGGAAGACTATTAAATTTGGCGATTTCATGGAGAAGAAGTTCGGACAATAACAATAACAAGACAACATGTGTCGGCCGAACAGAGGTATGATGTAGATGAAGTTGTTATAAGAAATCCTTATGTTGAAATAGTGACAGATGATTTTCCTGGAGCATTGGTTAATCAAAACTCATCACAAGAGGAGGAGCCAAACGTCGAAACAAAATGGTTTTTCGACATGTTGCATATGACAAATCATCCTATCTATGAAGGATGTAAAGAAGGTCAGTCTCGTTTATCTCTCGCATCAAGATTGATGAGTATGAAAATGGATTACAATGTCACCGAAAGTTGCATGGATTCATTTTGTCAAACGCTGGTGAGTATTTACCTGAAAATAACGAAGTTTCAGAATCGTATTATGATATGAATGCTATGTTGAAGAATTTGGGAATGCCTTATGAAAAGATTGATGTTTGCAAAAATGGTTGCATGCTCTACTGGGGTGAAGAAAAAGAATTGGTTAAGTATAAATTCTGTGGGGCTTACAGATACCGTCCGAGTAAGAATGTACGGAGACAAACTCCGTATAAAAAGATTTTCTATATGCCGGTATCATACAGATTGAAGCATTTGTATGAATCACAACAAACGGCTTCGCATATGAGATGGCATGCCTCGCATTCTGCCGTTGATGGAGAAATGCAACATCCATCGGATGCTTTGGCGTGGAAAAACTTCAACATGGTATTTCCTCAATTTGCTGGCCGCTTTACACATAGCTGCCAATTCAGTCTTCCACGAACGAACGAAACACATTGAGGTGGACTGTCACTTCATCCGGGAGAAGATCATGCAAGGGTTGATAACAACAAAGTATACTCGGAGTGAAGACCAATTAGCAGACATCCTCACAAAGGCGACAAGCTCTTTTGTTCTTAATCGGATTCTTTCCAAGATTGGTCTCATCGAATTCCGCCAACCAATCTTGAGGGGGAATGTTGAAGAACAAGAGAGTAATCAACACAACACGAGCAGACTTGAGGAGCAAGAAACCATCAGGTTAAGTGAAATACAAGCAACCTAATGTCCATAAGGTGTGCATACGTACTTGATCAGATGGGATATGAATGGATTGTTGAGAAAGGCCCATGGAGTTAATGTTGAGACATACAGCAGGAAGCTACTACTTGCCACCTACCTCATAAATACTCCTGAACATGCAAGGCTCCAACACCTAGTTTATTCAATTCTCTTCCCAACTACCTGTTCATTAAATATTTGCTGTAACAACTAGTTTCTCTACTATAAATAGGTGATATCCTGTATCACTTAAGATAAGAAATAGAGACTTAAGGAAATCTGAGTTATTTCCCCTCTATCCTTGTATCGTTCTTATCTCCTCTTTCGTATCAATCTTCATCTCCTTGCTTTTGTTATTTACAAAATCTACAGAAGAGGACTACGTGCAAGCACCACAAGTCCAACGAGGTAATGATCCAAAACTTTCAATGCCTACATTCGCGGGTAGAATTAATCTGGATGCCTATCTCGATTGGGAGAGGCGAATGGACAATATTTTCGAATGTTATGAGTATTCGGATCAGAGAAAGGTTAGATACGCAGCGGCACAACTCACCGACAACGCCTTAGCATGGTGGGATCGAGAAATAGCCGAGAGGCGTAGAGCACAATACGAACCTGTCACAACATGGAGAGAGATGAAGTTCATGATGCGTAAGAGGTATGTACCTCCACATTTTTATCGTGACTTGCAACGCAAATATCGTAACTTGGTGCAGGGAACTAGAATCGTTGAAGAATACTATGAGGAGTTCTAGCACCTACGAAACCGATTGGAGTTAGATGAAAGCGAAGAAGCGATTATGGCACAATTTGTGGATGGATTGCAGGAGCGAGTTGCTCGCAAGGTAGAACGTTTAACTTACCATGATTTGCAGGAACTTATCCATATCTCAATCCAAATCGAGCAGCAAATTGCCAAGAAGCAAGTTCGTTTCAACCGAGCAATAACAACTTCTTCAAACCAATCGTATACACGCGGTGAGAACAAGTCCGGGACTATTCCAACAACCAAATCAACCCAATCCGAGGCAAATATTCGTGACAAAGGGAAAGGAATAGCAACATCTTCGGGATCAGGTCCTAAAGGTAACAAATCAACTCCCGTTGACTTACGTTCACGTGAGATTGTTTGCTACAAGTGTAGGGGACGAGGACATTATGCAAAGGACTGTCCAAACAATCGTGTCATGATCCTTACAGATACGGGAGATTATGAGTCCCTGGACGAAGAGGAGGTTGATGATGTTGATGAGAACATAGAGTATCCGGACAGTGGAGAACTCTTGGTCACAAGGCGAGTTTTGAGCACAATGACAAACCCGGAAGAAACCGCCCAAAGAGAGACAATCTTCCACAGTTGATGAGGACATCGGACCTAGCAGCTTGGAGGAGGACGGGAGCATAACGGAAGGAGCTCTTGAAGACGGGAGCTTAACGGAAGGAGCTCTTGAGGACGGGAGCTTAATGGAAGGAGCTCTTGAGGACGTTGAAGACTTGGCCCATCAGGCGTCAAGACTCTTGCCGGATGATCATAACATCACACGATCATTCGAAGCCGCGGGAACGGGACTTGACATGCACAATGCGAAGGCTCCCCGAGCAAACCCTAGAGTCGAGCCACCATTAACTCGTGCTAGAGCTCGAGCACTTCGTATCACGCTAACCAAGGCTGTCACTCAAGTTCTCGACGGATTCCGGAATAACGATAACAATGGCGCATCCCTATTCGGACAAGAAGTGACCCGGAACGTCTTCAGCATTAAGTCCGAATTAGCTAAGGCCTAGGACATGACTTTAGGCCAGTCTTCGGCCCAAGAGGGAGGCCCACGATCCAGCCCATGTGCAGCCCAAAGGAAGGAGCTTTCCCAACAGCTCTTTATCTCATTTATTGCTAAACCCATGCATGTAAACTTAGCATTAATTATGTTTACTTCTTTTAAAAACTCAGCTCTTGTAATTTGAAAAACACAATTGAGATTTTGCAAGTAAATTTGAGATTGAATTTTCTCTCATCA